GAGGGGTAGTTGGGTACATTTACTTCCACTGACAATTCTGAAAAAGCAGATTTGGGTCATTCAAAACAATTTTTGAGGGGTGGGTTATTTGAGCACATTGGAAACTTATCAGGGGGTCATATGAGTCATTTTCCCTCGCCACTGCCCCTTCTCCCTCGAGAAGAGAGACCCGGTTCAAGTCGGGTCGGGTTTTCCAAATTGTCCCGAAACCGACCCAACCCGACATAGTTGCGCCGTTTCTAAGATTAGAAAAGGAACGACGGACATAAACGAAGGGGACAGATGTTTGTATTTGTATGGAAGGGAGGGGAGGGAACTCAACGCACAAAACTAGATATGATAACACTCTGTTGTTGAATCTCTTCAATCTGCAGATAATAATGCAAGTCATGGCTCTTCAACTCCGCCACTTCCCACTGTCCTCCTCTTCCTCTTCTTCGTCTTCTTCGTCTATCGAACGCAACTGCAAAGCGCCTCGCTTCCGCCATCTGCCCCTTCCCAGTTATGCCCCTCACCAACATCTTCATCTTCCAAGTACCCGCAATCCACGAATTGTCGCCTGCGTTGGCAAGGAAGACACCCAATTACGTCAATCATCATCTACAGATCAACACCCAGACGCCCAGGACCTTGAATACGTTCGTCAAATTCAAAGGGTGCCTCTCCTCCGTTCTCTTTCTCTTTCTCTTTCTCTTTCTTCTCCCTTCTTCTTGTTTAACACGCTTTTGTTGGCCGCCTCCTGCAGGTTCTGGAGCTTCTCAAGAAAAACAGAGACATGCTCTTCAATGAGGTGACACCCCAGATTCTGTTTTACTCCGCATTAACTCCTTCGCTTCCCCGACAATATTGCTGCAATTGTCCCTCAACTAACTCTTAAAACTTCGCTCCGACGATTTTTGCAATTACTTCTTACTTGCTTGAGTTAAGTTTGTTTCAATTTATTCTGCACCACAACTTTCTACCCATCTTATTGCTTTTCAATAATACAATTTGGCGCGTCGACTCAAGTCTCACATAGAATTACATTCGTTACTCTTGAAATTAACTCATGCTTCACTGCTGTATTTGTGGACACCTGTGTTTGTTTCTTTACTTTCCCCCGCCGTTGAAGATCTCGATCATCGTAGGTTAGTCTGCATTACTTTTTTCATACTCCATGCATTCCTTATGTATTTTGCTGCTTTACCTTATTCACCTCATTCCTCTCTTCATTTTCATATTCTTGAATTTAGTAGGTAAAACTTACCGTAATGATTGAAGACCCCCGGGAAGTTGAGCGCAGGAGATTGCTTGGAATTGACGACGATGATGCCCCAACAAGGGATGATTTAGCTGCCACTCTCGAAGAAGTGAGAAACTTTAGGATCTCAAAATTTTAACATTTTATAAGGTTCACAATTTCAAGCCTGTATCCACCTCTGACGTTCTCTCTTGATCTCAAATCAAACATGAAACTAACGAATTGGTTCAGTCAATTATATGTAGCTAGAGAATGTTGGAAACTGGAAAGCAGTGGATTTTTAGAAGTATTATTGTTACCACTAAAGCATGTGATGGCTTCTTCTAATGAAGTATAATTGAAATTAAAATGTCTTCCGAATTTCCAATTGACTTGCCTATTGACATTTCTCTATCTTACGAAGTTCAAACTGCATTTAGAGAAAGAAAAATGGAAAAAAATAAAGGTGATAATGTTATTCTATTTGATCATTGAGAGGCAAGGTATTTTTCTCTAATTGTGCACGTATGCATGCTTGCGTCGTTCATACTCCTGCTGCCCTGCATGTTACCCCTTCAACTGTTGCACCAAATGTTAACACTCACGAAGACAAAGAAACGGGAGATGTGGAAGAGCTGAAAGGAAAACGAGAGATCTAGATTATGTCCATTGAGTGGCACTATTTTGTATTGTTAGCATTCACTTTCATTTGCTATTCTACTAGGTCAATGAAGGAAAGTTCCCAAAAAACCGAGTAGCTCTTCGGATGCTTGCTGAAGAGATGATCAACTGGCCTAATTTGGAGGTATTATTTTATGTAACCTTTTAACCTTCAGGTTTTGAAAATTTTGAAATTTCATGCTTGTCCTCGTATGGTAAAATCTCATGTTTATTAGATATGAGGATATACTTAGTTGGACTTTAACTACTAACATACTAGCACTATCCTGTTGAGAGCAAAACATTAATTACAGACTGTTTTAGCGACTGTATCTGATGACACTCAATCGTCTTTATACTAAAATCTAAGAAGCACTGACACTTTAGTTTGGATAATGTGTCCGTGTCGGACACTCTTGACACTTATTGGATACTTGTTAGCTCAATTGAGATGTATGTCATACATCAGTTGTTCAACACTTGTTAGCACGTATCGAACACTTCTGGGTACAAAAATGATATATACTTAAAAAAAGGGTATATTTTAGAGTAAAATACAGCTTATTGACTTTGAGTTTTCTTCCTGGTACAAAAATGATATATACTTAAAAAAAGTGTATATTTTAATAAACACGTCATTGTCGTATTTGTGTCCTAGATTTTTAGTAAATGACGCGTTACCTTATTCATGTTGTGTCGTATCCATGTTTCATGTTTGTACTCGTGCTTCTTAGACCAAAATATAGAGGCTGATGAATCTTCCGATCACCTATTCTAGTTTTGGCACTAAATATGGTAGTTTTGGACCTTCGGTGTTGTTTGGTAAATACTAAACATTCTTTGGTGTACGCTGATACGCACCATGTGTGGGTATATAGATAGAACCCAAATATGATCAATGGAGATCGTGGCTGATGGATGGAGGAGGAGATGTAGATGGACGGTAGACGATAACATAAAAGTATTTCTCTGTGGCTGTTTTAAATACCATTTTTATTGTTGTTTTGAACTTGTGGTTGTGAGAACCACTATGGATTGGTTTAGTGGTCACTGGGGCCAGTAAAATAAAGAAAGGGCTTAGAGAAGGGTTGATTATATGAGTTTTTTTTGTAACTAAATGGTGTAGGAATCATGTGGAGGTCCCATGAGATTAGTTGAAATATGCACAAGCTAACTATAACACTCAAGGTTATCTAAAAAATAATTTGATTATGGATTAAAAATTATCTTCCAGATTTTTGCCCCATGATACTTTACAAAATTCTGATTATCACTAAATCTTGATTCAGATCATTGAATTTGATTTCCGTCTTATATGCATGTGTGCAGCAAAGAACATATAAACTTCGATTAGTTTAAGGATTATATAATAATTTAAACAAAGTATTAATTACTGTCTAAAGTAATTTTGGGAAATGGACTTTGGGGTTGGGGGGATGTTTTACTGTCTTTTCCCCAAAATATGGGGGAAAAAAATTCTGGCCGAAACAAGTCGCTGGGATCTCTATTTATGCTTTTCATATTATCATATGATAAGGGTCAGCAATCAGCATTGTTGTCCATCCTCTTTGATTTTCTCGACATATCTCTTTTTAATTTTTCTCCTCTTGCTCCACTTTTTTTCTGTGGTGTGGTCAAATTGTAAGTTTCTAAGATTCTGCATACGGTCTAAACTTGTGTGTTGTATTTGTTTTGCTGATTTTGGTGTTAATGCTTTCATACACGTAGGTTGAGGCACCCACGAAGAAAGAGAGACGCAGTAAATCTTTATATGCAAAAGCCACAGACACTGGTGTGGATCCTCTTGTGGCTGCCAAGAGACTAAACATTGATTGGGACAGCGCAGCCGAGATAGAAGATGCCGACTTGAGTGAGGACCCAGAAGTGCCGGCCGCTGTGGTTTGTTTTCTTGGCCCATCTCGTAAATGAGAGTCTAAATTGTGGACACTGAAATTGGTGATGATTTGATGCAGGGATATGGAGCACTGTACATGGTGACAGCGTTTCCAGTGATAATTGGCATCTCAGTAGTCCTAATCCTTTTCTACAATTCTCTTCAATAATCAATAGTGCTTCTTAAATGTGGCTGCAAGGGTTTAGTTTGTACCTTTCACGAGAGTTCATTATGTATTCAAGTAAGGAGGACCAGAATTAGTTATCAATGTTTGGATGAATTTATGAGGTGAACCGCGTCTTTAAGTCTCCCTCTTGTACTCACTTTTTATCAATGGCATAATAATCTTTCAGAAATAACCGTCATCTTTCAATGCCTGCTTGCATATTATATCGTCCAAGTCAACCGTGGTGGGAATTAAAGAAAGCGGGCGAAGACCCAGATGAGATGGCTTATGTCATGTTATGCTGTAATATTGATTTTGGGGCAGAACATGCAAATCATTACTAAACGAACTGCTCTCCACGTCCATGTGTTCTCTTCTTCTTCTTCTTCTTCTTCTTCTTCATCTTCTTGAATCAGTGCAAAAAGAAAATCCATGAAAGCGGGATGCAGTCGCAGTGTGAAGGGCATTTGAATAGGAGGAAATGGTGTGGGCACAAGGAGAGGTGTTGGAGAAGCGAAAATGGGGAGAGAGAGGAAGGTAAAAGGGGAGGGAAAGCGGGGCGTTGTGGTGAGAAATTGAGATGTGGGGCAGGGGCACTATGGTTGTTGGTAGCAGTACTGCCGGGGTTTAGGAAGGGGAAGGGTGAGAGAGAGGAAGAGGGAGATGGAGGTGATGAGGGAAGCGGGTGCATATCCATATCCATATCATCGAGGAGAGTTTCTCTGGAAAAATTCGAATGCGGTTCATGGGCTTCGTCGGGCATGGTGGTTCATGAGGACAATGAGGAAAGTGGGAGCCTCTATTTTGATCTGCCAATAGAGTTGATAAGGAACAGCGTCAGCGTCAGCGTGGGCGCACAATCACCAGTAAAAGCCGCATTTGTATTCGACAAAGCAAAATTAGCTGCCGCCGCCGCCGCCTCGTCAGTATCAGTACGTGCATCTGCCCCGCCCACACCAACTTCATCTTCAATCGTCATTACCCCACGCTTGCGCAAAGCTAGGGAAGAGTTCAATGCACTTCTGGAAGCGCATACTACTACTCTCTGAGTTATCACCTCACTCACCACCCATCTCCTCGCTTACAATACAAGCCTGTCTTTGCTTTGCTCCTTTCCAATCGTACATCTCTAACTCCTAATAGTCTCATTTTTCTTCTTTAATTCTATTCAAATATGGAGTGAGTGACGCGGGTTTTATTCATTTATTAAATTTTTTAAGAAAAAACAAGTGCCTCAAATTTGACCGACGCCTGTGACATCCACAAACACTATTCAATTCAAAATTCCAAAATGTTTAAATCAAGGTTTGTTACAGAAAGAGAAAGGACACCTCTCACTTTGATGCTACATCAATAATTCAGCCCCTCTTAGCCTTTAACTCTAAAGTTTTTTTTGTTATTATTGTTGTTACATATTTAAAAATAAAAAACAAGTTTTCAATTATTAGTGGATGTAAATTATCTAACTTTAATGTTCCATCTTTATTTTTCCATTCTATTTAGAAATACTTGCCTAAAATTTTTATTAAGGTAATGCATGTAACCTGTTTGGGAAGCATGTAGAATTCTTAAACTAGGTGGTCATCATTGATTTAAACTTATTCTCTCTCCATTTATCCTAATCCTTTAGAACAGTCACTCATGATGGTAATTGTTTGCATAAAATTTAAGATCCAAAACAAAGTATTTAAAAGTTGAAAGCCTAGAAGACAACATTTAAAATTTAATTTTGATACAATGGGAAAGCAAATATAAAATTTTAGAATAAAAATAAGATTGAGTTAGAGTATATTGGATTATCGAGGTGGGGATTTAGTGGGGAAATAAAGGGATTATTATTATGATAAAGTGAAAAAGAAAGTTAAACGAAAACCTGGGATGGGATTCCTTGAATTAAAAATTGGGAAGAAAAGACATCGGTACATTATTAAATTAAAAAAAAAAATCGGGTATCACATGTGAGTGTGAGTGATGTACACCCATTTTTGAGTTTTTTGATAATGACATGTTAAAACAAAAGTCCCTCCTTTTCTTTTGTTGGTTAATTATTAATATTAAGCCACTCCAGTTGTGGTGCAATTATTCCAAACCCCAAAACTTGGCCCAACTCCCAAGTCCTAACTGGAATTAAACACATATGCCAACTTTATTTTTGATGGGACCACAACCAAAATTTGTCCTCTCCTCTCCTCTCCTCACCTACAAAGACCCAAAATAATTGAACTCTATTCAACCCTTTGGGGCTCCAGAAATTCCCTCGCCGACACGAAACGAAAGCCGAATTATGAAACACAGCTTTATCTCTTTTGTTTTTATTTGTAATGTAAAAATGTAATATAAATATAACCACAAAAAAGTGTAAATAAAATAATTACAACAAGTGGGGTGGGCGTATGCAGCATGACACCCCCCAAAACAGGTAATTATATATAGAAGCAGTGTTAATGAAGATGGAAAAGAGGTGAAAGAACAATGAGCATAGAATCAAGTAAGTGGGTTGCAGGCGTATGGATTATACGGAACGAAGAGATGGAGTATCCTATCCTAATTAAAGGGAACGGGAACGCAAAGCAGAAATGAATTTGAAGGTGAAGGTGGGTTGGGTACTATTGGCGCGTGGTGTTCAACCTGGTACCGATCATTTTGAGCTCGAATCTCTTGACGGCGGGAGCCACGAGACGCATGGTGGTGTCCAAAACATAGGGGGTGTTGTCGAGAGTGAGTTGGGTTTGATTCGAGAGAGAACGGCAGG